TACCTGGAAACGTGTATTAACTTAAAAAGAGTATTTGGGAGCTGCCGGAGATTCCACAGCAAGGGTTACACCCACCTAGGAACTGTCCATGGTGCTGAGGCAGGGCCACTAGCGAGCACGGGATGGAAGATGCTCTAACAAGGATGGTCTCAATTCTCTCAGGCGACAAGGTGAATGCTGAGCTCCTGCACTCTGCACATTTCCGAAGTTTCTCGTTCAAGGATGAAGACAAGGTGATTGGCAGCAGGAGGTGACTCCAGGGAAGCACTGCCTCCCGTTTGAAGCCCTCTTCCCCTCGCGCTGATCTTTCTCCTGAAGGCTCATGTTTTATTTTCAGATAGATGTTTAAACATTCAGGATGATCTCTGGAGGGGAAGAGAGCATTTCAGAGTTTTAACATTTTTTCTTCCCTCCACACTCAGTCATGATGTTTTCACTTTTCAGACATCAAGGTGGCAAATAAGTTTCTCTGGAAGCATTTTTAAAGTGTCTTATGTGGTTTCCAATATTTGCAAATTTATTTAGTGTACATTTACTGAACATTTGATCTATGGCAGACCGTGCCCTGGTCACACAGTTTATAAATATGATCTCTAGTTGTGTCTACACTTTGAAAACATTCTTTTAAAATTATTTTTAGTGTTAATTGATATGTAATAATTGTAAATATATGGAGTGTGATGCTTTGATATGAGTACACATTTTATAATGATCAAATCAGGATAATTATCTCCATTTACAGAAAGATTCATCACTTGTTATGTGAAGAGAACATTCAAAATCTTTTTAGTTATTTTGAGCTACATAGAATCTTATCATTAACTACAGTTACCCTGCTGCTGTGCATTAACAGGAGAACTTATTCTTCCTAATTATAACTTCATATCTATTGATCAACCTTTCTCCACTGTGAACCATTTTTTAGTCTCATTTTATAGATTAAGAAATCAAGGCAAAAGGTAAGAGAACAAAGATCTCTTTGACAGTAACAGAGACAAGGTTATTCTAATTCCAAATTCTATTGTCTTTATTTTTCTTTTAAGTTTTATTTTAAACTGCTTAGCATATACAAAAGAACATAAATGGTAGTATATCATCCAACTTTTAAAAAATCAGATATTACAAATAAAAATGGAGCTTCTGAATAGATGAGGCTCCTTTCCTTCATTCTCATCCTCATTACGTGTAGCCACTCCCTTCCCCAGGAAAGCATTAATGTATGTTTTAGGTGCGTTTGTGTGTTTCAAAAATATTATAAAATATTCTGCATATTTAAAACCATTAGTATAAATGTTGTATGTGTTGCACGTATTTTCCTAAAATGTAAGTTTTTTTCCTCTATTTTTAGGATTTTTAGATTTCCCCAAGTATCCCAGGTTCATTTATTTCCTCATGATCTTGCCACAGCCCCCCACCCCTTCAAAGACAGGTAAATGAGAACATAGGAAGAAACATAAAACTGTAAGATCAGTCACAGCAGAACACACAGAGTGGAGGAGCTGTCCAAGCCCCAAGAAGAGCCAACCTAGCGTAGAAGATCATGGCTAGACTTTGTGGAAGAGGAGATCGAGGAGGCAAGAGAGAGCACAATAAAGAAGGCAAGAGCAACATTTGTAAAGGTGATTGTGTGTGTGTGTGTGTGTGTGTGTGTGTGTGTAAGGGAGAGGGAGAGATGGAGAGAAAGGAGGGGGAGGGAGGGAGAGAGAGAGAGAGAGAGAGAGAGAGAGAGAGAGAGAGAGAGAGAGAGAGAATTGATAGTTTCGTGTTAGTAAAACAGGGAGAAGGCAGGTGTTTGCAGGAGGTAAAATTGGTGAAACAGTGACTACAGAATTAATAATAGCAGGCTTCTAGTGGCCTTTTCTGTACATAGTGCCTAATTTCAGAAGGCATTCAAAGACACTGAAAGATGGGGAAACTTAAACTTTAAAAAATGTAAGTCATTTCTCCAGAGTTACATAGCTGGGTACTGGAAGGGCTGTGAATCAAACTCTACTTCTGATTCAAGTCCAGTATGCTTCCTCCTGTGCCACTGATGTGAAAGTTACATTGGCAGCTAGGAAAGTAAGATCATTTTAGGGAATTAGAGGGATACATGTATAGTAAACACTGGAATTATTTCTATATATAAGAAAAAGAAAATTCATAGTATCCAATGAACTTAAAGCATAAATCTATAATTTTATATAATATTTCAAAGATTGGCAATTAATTTAAATAGTTCAAAGGTATGCTGAACTAATCAAACTTGTGTATATGACTTTTGCTGACATGACTCACAATGTTTTGGGAGGGCCTGTTACAAATAGAAAGGTAGATAGATATATAGGGAAGTGGACAGATATTCAGGTGAATAAATAGGTAGCAAATGCAGTGGCGATGATCATTCATTTTATGGATGATGAGCCGGGACCAGCGATGAAAGTTCCATATCACTAGGACACAACAACTGGGACTTAACCTGATTGTGACTTTTTCACTGCTCTTTGTTGTGTTAGGGTGACTGGGTGTCACTCTTACTGTTCACTCGAGATCCGAAATGCCTTCCTCTGCTTAAAAGTTTTCCTGTCTTTGAGACAGAATCTACTTCCCACTATAAAAAAAATGAAAATTTCAGGTCTTGTTCTAGGCTCCCTTGTATATGTCCCTGGGTTTGTCATTCAGGTATAACCACTGCAGACTTAGGGTGACAGACTAGTGGCAACAAAAAGAAAGACAATTGCAAATCTTTTTGGTGATGGGTTATGAAAATGGTGTCAGCTTCTTTCAAGTTCTGTTTTCTAGTGTGACTGTTCACTGTATAAGCAGGGTAAGCTGCTGGGTCTATCTCCAACAGTGATAGGGATGCATCTGTGTCTCTCCTGGGGCAAGGAAAATGGATAATATTTCCATTATTCTTGGCTAGCACCTGAATTCTGGTCTTTTTTTTTATCTAAGATACATAAGAGTTAGCTAGTATCCCTCTAACAAATTATTATTTTACTTAAAATGGTCAGAGGCACTAACTGATATAGGTACCTTGCTCCTGGAACCCTGAAAGATAAGAAAAAAGCATACAACAGAACTCTTTATGGCAAGTTTTCTTGTTTCATCAGTGCATCTTCCAAAGTGTCATTTAAGATTACTGACAACAGTTTCCTGATTGCTGGAGATAATATATTCTGGCTATTTACAACACCATTCATGGGGATAAAATGTCCTCCTGAATTTCTTCAGTAATGATCTTGGCATAATTTGGCTTTGTTCTCTTGTTTCTATGATTACTAACTTCTAAATATTCACTCTCATTTCTTTTCTCCCCAGATCACGGGAGCCAAATTATTCTTTGTGTAGTCTCAGTTTCAGAGCATATAAATGTTGCCTAGATCAGTCCTACTCGTTCATCAGGTGTCTTCTTTGTTTTCCCCAGATCTCAGTTTAGGGATGCTGTGGTTAAGAGAAGCTGGGCTATGTCACAGTAACAAACAATCCTAAAAGCTCAGTCTTATGAAAACAAAAGTTTATTATTAACTCTCTTGAGTCAGCCAGGTTCTCCTTCTGTGCCTTCATCTGGAGACTCAGCTGTTGGAAAATATTTCCTTCCTGGAACATTGTCAGATATGTAACAAAAGAAAAAATATAGAATGCTATGTGTTGACTCAAAGCTTTTTTTCTGGGAAATGGATCAATTCTTTCTTCTTAATGGCATGGGCCAATGAAGTTGCAAAGCCTCTTCTTAAACTTAAGAGAGTGGGACTGAATTATGCTTCCATAGGGAAGAGAAATGCTAAAAGGAAAAGCCCTTTCTTCAAGTCACAAAACACTGAGTTCTTTTTCCCTATCTCAAGTAGAAAACAATCAACTTTGTCCTCTCTAAGTGAGGTAACTCAGGAGATCCCTTCTCTACCCACCTGTTTCTGCTTCAATATTAAAGTTTAGGATTTTCGGAAGAAGTGTGTTAATCTTCAATTACTACAAGAGCTCCTAGATCCAGGGAGTGGAGGGAGTGGTTGTTATTTGAGGACTGGGCAAGAGAGGTAAGAAACAGAATTTAGCCAATAAAAGACATGGACAACCGGTGTTAAATTCCGCTGGAGGAATTATGTGAGTCAATAGAGACACACAGTCTAGGGTTATCACAGCCCAGAGGGACAAAGAATCTTGATTCCCACAGATTCCCACAAAGCATTTGCTGGGGATGATCTCAGGCTAATCCCCAGCACTGACAGATTTCAGGCAAAGAAATTCAGGTGATATAATTGGAATTTGGTAGGTATATATGGAGGAGTTAAGGGTAAGGACATGGAAAGGGACATCAATATCATTGCCACACCTTGGGACTCAAAATATGAGTAATTTGTTGCTTCATATCTAAAATGCACTACCAGAATATTCATAAAATGATCTTTCATGCCAGTATCTTGTACTCTGAACAACTACTGTGAATATAACTGTGTATTATGTTGATTATTTTTACTTTCTTATGAGCCTCTTTTGAAACTGTTTTATTGTCATTTTTTAGTTTTTTATGTTAAAATAAAACATCACTAAAATAATAAACACTGCATTTGGAAAGGGGAAGGATGGGATGCACATAACAGTCTGTGATCAGCAGCAATTTTATAATCATGGGTGATAGATGCTTTGATTTTTAGCTGAGGATGGGATATTCCTTGTGCATTATTCTCTTTCTCTTGTGGGATCACATCTATTTGCTTTGAATAAAAATATTCCATCAGGGACAGATTCCATTGGTAAAATAAATCATTGAGTTGCTAACCTCATCAATAGATAAATGTTCATGCATTGATCAGTTCATAGTTAACTGTGCTGATAAAAGTGGGGATTGGTTGGAGATTCACTCAGGAAGTGTATTGGCTTTCTCTCTTCTCTCTCTCTCTCTCTCTCTCTCTCTCTCTCTCTCTCTCTCTCTCTCTCTCTCCTGTCTCTCTCTCTGTCTCTGTCCCTGTCTCTCTCTGTCCCTGTCTCTCTCTGTGTCTCTGTCTCTCTCTCTGTGTCTCTGTCTGTCTCTGTCTCTGTCTCTCTCATAGTTTCCAGGAGTTTAGGATCTTTTCCCACCAGGCCATCTTGCCATATTTCTTCTTTGGATCTTGCCAATCATGGATTGAAATAGTTAAGCCATAAGCCAAAATAAACTTATCCTCTATTTTCCTCTTCAAACAATGCAAGTATTCTGGTCATAATGAGCAAAGGCTGCTATCTTTACTTTTTGATGCTATTTTTTGGGCGCAGCTGGAGGTGACTTTTTCTCATCTGCTACATCTCATAGAAGGCTGAGGATTTACAAGTCTGGAATTATCAATTTTTTTTGCCTAGAGTGATGGTTCTTTTAATATGAAACTCTTTGACAAACTTATTTTGTATCTTTTAGACAACAACATATGGTAGTAGCTACACCCACCAATCTTTCTGAAACAGGACTTTCGAAGTTTAATTGTGAGTATCTTGAGCTTTTAAATTTTCTGTGTAAGCCTCATTATAAAGTTCTTTCCTTTGAGTCATTTGGTCCAACAAAAAATTAATTAGATGATTTTTCTGTTACTACCTGAAGATTCATTAGGCCATGTTTTGCTTTTCTATTACCATCATCTTATTGACTAAGTACAATTGGCTTAATACAATTCATATTAATTATCTCTTAGTTCTACTGGGCATAGTGGGGCTAGGTTCATTGCTTAAAGTCTCACAAAGTTGAAATCACAGTACCGTGCTGGAGCTCAGGATGACCTTTGAAGATCAAATAATTGTTGGAAGAATGAAATTTCACAGTATATTGAACTTCAGATTCTATTTTCTTTTTAATTTCCACCTGAAGATTATTTTTAACTCTTTGAGACTGTCTTAAGGTCTTTACATGATTGCTTACTTCTCCAAAGCCAGCAACAGAATTTTCTCTTTCTTTAAACTATCACAAACCTCTTTTGAAAGTACATGTAGTTATGATCACCTGAGAAAACCTCCTTTTTGATGAACTGGTAGTCCTCTGATTAGGTACCTTAATCATTTTTTACAAGGTCTCTTCTGCATGGAAGCGATGTACCATTATCTTTAGAGTTTCTGCTCATGTCTTAAGGATTATACAAGGTGTGCACACACATTTCAACCTAATCATAAGGTATGGATGTAAACTTAATTCAAAGGAATTGCCAAACTATGTAATGTTTACCTTGAGTTGATCTTTCCCACCAGACTAAGTTTTGATAAACTTTTGCTTTTTTGTACTTTGGTATTTTTATGCTTTATGTTTGGGAAGACATAGACTCTCAGAACAGAAGATCTTAAGTTTCTGGACTCCCATGTTTTCAACTTGACTAAAAGCCAATTCATTCTGATCTCATCTTTTCTTGTTCTATTTTGTCGCATGCTAAATATAGTCATCAATGTATACTGCTGACATTCTGTTTGTCCCATTTTTAACTTAGAGTCACATGCTCACTAAGATTATCATGACAGATGAGTTTTAGCAAGTGTTTCTACACTGCATTACAGAGGCTCCCACTTTTCTTGTCTCCAATGCTGTATATTTTACTTTTCATAGAAAGAAAACTATTTTTGGAATCATTTTTTTTTACTTAGAATAGGATAACTATGTTACAATGTAACAGCATAAAAGATAAATTAAAAATCACATAGCCTTCAACAAAGATGTTTTATTACCTGCCCTTGCAACATGCCTATCCTGGGCCAGCTTGTTTTGTCTTGGTATCCTAGCTGATGGAATAGCCTTTATATGCCACAGGGACAGTGGGGGAAAACAGACATGCCTAAGCTCTTAACACATCTGCCTGAAGTGACAAACATTACTTCTAACCGCATTTTACTGTCAAAAGCAAGTTAACTGGAAATCTCTATGTCCACCAGGGTAGAGATACGTAATCCTACAGAAGCAATGGGGAGTATAAGGGGAAAAATCAGAATATTGGATGAATTGTAATATAACTAAATATTCCATTGTTCTATCAAAAGGAATTTTCATTGCTCTCAGGATTGGACTTCTGGTCTCCTACCTGGTTTCCCTTTCTTTAGTGTTTGGGTGAGCAATAAGCCTTTGAAGCTTGAAAATTAAGTCTAAGAGTCCTCATAAAGGGGTATTAGAAAACCATCTGTTTTGGCTAGCATTTCTGTACCTTTTCCCACTGGGATTTGAACACTGTTAAACTTCTAATTTATATAACCCCTGAGCAGGGAACTTCTCTTAATGCCTGCCCTTACAATATTTATCTTTCTCTTTTTGGTTTGTATGTAGGACTCACATAAATTTTGTATTCATTGAACATGTTTTTCTTTTCCTCCAGAGTAAAAAGACAATCTTATTCAAAACTGGACAAAAGATCAGCACCTTCTCCAAAGATATATTAATGGCCAATAAGCACATGAAAAGATACTCAGTATTATTAGTTTTGGGGGAAATGCAAAGTCAAAATGCAATATCATTTCATACCCATTGGGTTGGCTATTACTTAAAAATATAAAAGAAAGAAACTATCAGATCTTGACAAAGATTTAAAAATTTACAACTCTTATGCATCCACTGAAGTAAATGTTATATTCCACTAAGCATAATTTCTTCAAGTCTGTTATTTCTGAGTAAGAGGAAAGAGTTGAATGATGAAATGCCAAAGATTCTGGATTTTTTGGGCAACATCTATAGCTTAATTGAAAAGTCTATAAATCAACTTTCTAAGGGCTTATAAAGGAGATCTCATGATTCTAACTGCTTTCTAGATTGCTATCATTAACTGAATATTAGTTAAAGTCTAGCAAGAAAAGCCTGAGGAGTGTGACAAATATCTTTATTAAAGAATGCACAGCTGATTAAGGAATATAAAATTAAAGTAAAAGGAGAATTTGGGGTTTTACATAAAAGCAGAAATGAGTACTGGGAATAACAACAGGAGATACAACATAGACAAATTTGTGCATATAAAGCCCATTGTAAATCACTGTGGTGATAAAATGGGTGGGGGTATCTGGGATCAGCAGGACAACATGAGGGAGATGAAATGATCATAGTGATGATGACACATCGGAGACCCAAGGTAAATTTCTGGGAAATAAAACAATAATAGGGAGAAAGTCTACTTGTACAAGAGGTCTTTGTGTGTGTGTGTGTGTGGGGGGGGCTAGCATTTGTTAATTCAGTGTATGGACCACCCTAGGAATCAGATATTATCTCCATTCTTCCAATGTAAAGATTGAAACTATTAGGGATACTACTTTGCTTTCATTAGCCAAATTAGATTATAACTGTTGCAATAAACATGCTTCAAAAATAATTTGCTAAGCACAGTTGTGTATGCTAATTCTCATCACAGCTGTCATGATTAATTTTTATATCAACTTGGATAGACTGCAGTCTGCAGTTATCAAACAGTAACGCAGGTGGTGGAGTTTAGGCTGGATTGTTAGCTTAAGGATATAATCCATTGACTTTCTTTTAGTAATACTATCCTAGATAATCTGGGTTGGCCTGGAGGCCTCAGGAGAAAAGGCAAGACTTCTATATAGAAGAAATTCCACCTGTGGACAGAAGCTTCAGTTGGTGGTGAAGAGTTCCATCCTGCTCTGCCAGTCCAAAGAATATCAGATTTGTTAGTGAAGCCCCACAATCACGTAAGTCAATTCATTGCAATGCATGTTTTAATATCTCCTACTGATTCTTTTTTTTCTAGGACAACTCTAGTTGACAGAACTGCATAATAACTGGATGGAATTTCACTGTTTGTGGTCCTTCAGGGACCTATGCTCCTTCTAGCTCATGTTTCTATCATTTTCTTGGATCTAAACGTTTTTCACCAGAAGTTTTTCTTTTGGTAGAGAGAAGAAAGCAGAGAAAAAGCACAAACACTATAAATTCTTGTCCTATAGGTGACAGTAGCACTCTGGAAATAAATATTTCATGGGAAATAATTAATGACACTAATAGAAAGAGGGATGGGAAGTGTAGTCTAACACTGTGCTCAGAGAAAAGCAAGGCCACGAATACTAGAGGGCACCCAAGAGGATGATTCACATCCCCAGAGTTCAAATGCACGGATTTCTCCCCTTCTCTCAGTGCATTTATGCTATCAGTCATGTTACTCATTCTAGGGCACAGGTTGGAGTTTTTGCTGTCTGTAAGATATTCCAATTGTACAAGGGCTGGAGTGTAGGGAGCCGAGCGACAGCCCCATTGCTGCCTCCCTGCCTCTCTCTCTCTCTCCTATGGACACTGCGTCTGCCTACATTAACCATAATCCTCTCCTGCTTACATCACATACCCGGACGTGACGATGACCCTGTTGCATTCATCCCCGTAGCCTCTTCCTGTCCCACCTCCCGCCCTTGGCCTATAAAAGATGTGCTCACTTCCGGAATAAACAGAGGGCTTGATCAGATTCTCTCAACTTGCTTCCATCTCTCTTTGTCTCTCCTATGTCTTTGTTTAATCCCCATTCCGCCTCCAGGTACACCCCACGAATTGATCCGCAGGTCAGATCACTGGAGGCTTGATGATACTCCTATTTAGGATTCTAAGAAAAACTGGATGATATTGAATATGGAGAAAAATAGATTCTAAAACAAAAGATATTAGTGAACCAAGAATTAACCCTAATTCTGTGTATTAGTTTTCTAGGCTGCATAAAAAATGACCCAGAACTTAGTATGTTTGGGAAACCTACATATATTATCTCAAAACCTCCACTGGGAAGGAATTTGAGTATTGATTAACTAGCTCCTCTTCTCAGGATCTTACAAGGCTATAATCAAGGTATTGATTGGCTATACTATTGTCTGGAAGCGTGAATGGGAAAACTGACTCAGAAATTCCCTCAGAATGCAAGCAGAGTCAATGTCCGCATGGCTGTAGGATGAAGGTCTCTGTTTTCTTGTGGATTATTTGGCTAATGGTTGCTTCTAGCTTCTAAAATCTAGCAGATTGCATTCAGGTTGTTGTTTGCCACCACTTCACAACACAGCAGCACATTTCCTCAAGGACAGTGGTAGACTCTGTCCTATTCCTGTGTATTAAGATAATCAAAGGTGTGATTTCCACTCACCATTGCCATGTCCCATTGGTTAGAAGTGCGTCATAGGTTTTGTTGTGTTTGAGGAGAAGGGACTATATAAGGCTGTAACTCACTGGAAGTGGTTCCCTTAGGATGTTTCAAGTACACTAGTGTCACAGAAATGGCATGCAGTAGGTGTATGATAAATATTTGATCAAGGCACAGTGAACCCAATGAAATGAGGCTTAAAACTCCCCTGGTGGAGCTTTTCACTTACTTTCCCAACATTCATTCTTATGGGTATGTGAGGTTATTTAGAGGGGAGACAACAAAACTGGCTCTTACTGTTTTGGTTGTCAAATCTTTTCATGCTCAGAATTCAGCAAGCAGGCCTTGGGGTGGGTGACTATAGACAGATGTGAACTGCCTTGCAAGATGGTGCTCTATCCAGGTAAAACTTCCAAGGTAATAGGGAAAGTCTTCTAATATCATGGTGCTTGCTCTGTGAAGTTAGCACCATTACTATAATGAAGATGATGATTGTTCTGGATTTCCATAATTATAACCTCAGCTCTGTCTATTGAGGTATGAAAGGCCAAATGCTGAAGTGACCCAGTTCCTCCTGCTGCTGAATTTCCCTTTCTCTCCCCAAATGAATATTTTGTCTCTTTAGGCTTTTCCTGAGAAAGTCAGTTATAATCAGAGGTACCATCTGTCTTTCTGGCTCCAAGCCAAGTGAGTTTATTAAAATTATGGGAGGGTGTTCTGAGGTTATACTGAGGTAGAAAGAACGGACTGGACAAGAAGGAATGTCTTGGAGGCAGAACCATAGGCAAGGATTTTAATACTCATAATTTTAGGAGGTGATCCCTGTAGGAACCAATACGGTTTGGAGAAGTGAGACTAGAAGGGGAAGGGAGATCATACAATGTATGTTTACAAACTGATTACCTCTGTCCTATATAGGGACACAATTCTACTGGCAACTCTGAGAGACTGTAAAACATGTCTCAGAGTCCCCTCAATACAAGAGAAGAAAGCAGGGCACCTATCACCAAGTATTTTCCATGAATGCAGAGGGAATTCCCTGAGCAGGCTGTTTTCATTGTCTTGTGGCCCACACATGGGGCTGAAGCTATTATTGGTGCTATTTATAGTAAGGAGCTCAACCTGTAAGGAAAGTGTGCCATAGGGAATGATGGAGTGATAGATGGGATCCGCTGAATCAGGTGAGTAATATTTCAAATCTTGTTAGGTCTATACACAAGGAGGAAGCACCACTTTATATACCATACTTCCTTACTTGTTGCTGGTTTTGGTTCGCTATTCTCAATTGTTTTTGTATTTGTGCTCCCTGGGAGTATTAATCTGTAGTTCTCCTTTCTTGTGATGGTTCTGTCTTGCTTTAGTATCAAGGTAACACCAGCCTCATAATAGGAATTGGAGAGTTCTCCTGCTTGTTTATTTTCAGAAAATGATTGTGTAGTATTTTCTTTGTTACATTTTTGATAGCATTCATCAGTGAAGCTAGCTGGGTCTGAGATTTTCTGTCTGGGAAGATTATAAATTACTAATTCAATTTCTTTTGCTTGACATGTGTCTATTCAGGTTTCCTACTTCTTTCTGAGTTAATTTGGTGATTTATGTCTATCTGAAAGTTGTTCCATCTCATATGAATTGTCTATTCCATTGGATAAAGTTGATAATAAAATTCGTTTATAATCTTTTATATGTTTTATAGATTTGTAGCAATGTCTCTTTCTTTATCCTGAATTTTGATCATTTCTATATTTTTTCCCTTAGTTTAAAGACTGAAGTAATAGTAATAATAGACAAAGTTATTCCCTTCCTTGATAAATACCTGTTCTGTGCATGAGCAGTACCAAATTTTCAATAAACAAGCAACGTCTACGTTGTGCTATAATTTCTAGAATATAGCAATGTAGAAATATCAAATTAATGCATTTTATGAGTCTACAATACTTTTGGTATCAGAATGACAAGAAAAATTTAAAAAACAAAATTGCAAGCTAATCTAATTTTATATGCATAAATATAAGTAGTCCTAAATGAGCACTGGTACATCAGTCTAGATCTAGAAAATAAAAAGGAAATAAAATAACAGGTATCTTTATAAAATAGTCCCAGGATGAAATATTCTTTTTTAATTTTATTTAAAGAGAGAAAGAAAAAGGGTACAAGTAATACAGAATTTCAAAAAAATAAACAGTAACAAATCACTAGTTAATGGATTACATATTGTCATCTTAGAAATAGTTGTTTGAGTTACAAAATTAAAGCATACAAAGTGGACATTCAAACAGTGAGGCTGCAAACAGTTCTGTTCAATGATCCAACAAAAACTCAGCAATATGGTCATCTGTCTTATACGCTTAAATATACATGCAGTTATATCCTTTAGAGTACTTTATTTTCCTCTCCTTTTTACAATGACAATTACACATTTTGGGTTTTATTACTGCCACAGTTCTTATTACTTCTTTTTGAAGAGAATAAAACCAAATGTGACATAACAAAACAGTCAGTCACATCAAAAGGATGGACATAGTACATGATGTAAAAGCAGAATACAAGGTGGCCAACAATGGTTACCATAATGCCTCTTGCTATCTTAAAAAGAATATCTTATATCATCAGTTATAATAAAATTGAACAAAACAGTACAGAACAAAACCAATAAAACTGAAACATTGGAGACATTACAGAACTTCAAATGAAGATAATAGTCAAACCAGAATGGGCATCACAGTGAATCTTATTGTCTTCAAAGTAGTTGCCTATACCCTCAAACTTGATACTATCAAGCAAAACAGAATAGAGTAAAATCAGGCAAAAGAAGATGGTGAGAGCAATACAGGGCTTCAAATCAAGTTAATAGGAAATCAAAACGGTTACTATAATATATCCTGCTATTTTTATTTATATTTTCCTTTAATTAAAAAATAAAATAAAAAATAATAATGAAAAGGAAATAAAAGAGGACATAATAACACAACAGCACAGGTCAGTACATAACAATTTAAGCAACATAGTGTTTCACCACAAGATATCCTGACATAACAGTAGTTACCATAGTGTCTCTTTCCTTGAAATATTTGAGTATAACTTTGTATACTGTAGCATCAAACATATCAAGACAATGTAAAACCATTAAAGAGAATCACAGTATTACAGGGTATTTAGAATTAACAGAAAACTAACAATCGTTTCTATATTATCTTGTCTATAAAAGTTTTTGTTTGTACTATCACATATAATAAAATCCAATAAGATACAACATGTTAAGACTGATGGAGACAGAAGAACAAAAGCTTGATGGGACATCAAAACAAGATGATATTAAACCAGCACGAGCTATTATGATGTCTTGTTTTCTTCAAAATAGCTATTCATACCATCACACACAATAAAATCAAACAACCCAGAATAAAACCATTCCAATTAATGAATACAAACATTATAAGGCTTCAAAGCAACATAATGAGGAATCAAGATTACCACATACATTTATGTATTGTTTTCATTTCTTACACTAGGGAAACTTTGGTATTTACACATGTGGGTTTGATTTATTTCATTTATGAGTATGGTCTCAAGCTGCACCCATTTATTTATAAATATCTCAATGTGATCCTTCTTTATAGCTGAGTAGTACTCCATTGTATAAAAATACCACAACTTTTTTATCCATTCCTCAGTTGATGGACACTTAGGTTGTTTCCAAGATCTGGCTATTACAAATTATGCTGCTATAAGCATGGGTGCACTGTGGTATCACTGTGGTATAATGCTTTCCGTTCTTCTGGGAATATGCCTAGAAGTGGAATAGCTAGGACAAATGGGACTTCCAATCCCGACTAATCTCCAGACTGACCTCCACAATAGTTGCACCAGTCTACACTCCCACCAACAGTGCAGGAGAGTTCCTTTTTCCCCACAGCCTGTCCAGCATTTGTTGTTTGTGGTTTTCTTGATCCTGGCCATTCTTTCAGGAGTGAGATGGAATCTCAGTATGGATTTAATTTGCATTTCTCTAATGAGTAATGATGATGAACATTTTTTCATGTTTTTATTTTCCATTTGTATTTCTTTATCTGAAGTGTGTATTCACCTCAGAGGCCCATTTTTGGATTGGATCTTTGAATTTTGGGGGTCTGATTTTTTTAAAGTGTTTATATGTTTTAGACAGAAGTCTTTTGTCTGAGGGACAGGTCACCAAGATTTTTTCCCAGTTTGTGGGTTTTTTCTTTTACTATGCTGGAGATTTATTTTGACGTGCAGAAAGGGGGAAAGGATTTTTAGCTCACAGTTTATAGAGCTTTCAGTCCACAAAAAAGACTGGCTCCAAGGCAGGTTGGCAACACAGTGGAGAAGCAGTTTATGTTGGGCAGAGGGTAGCAAAGCAACAAGGAAAACCACAGCTCTTTTTGCCCTTTTATCTTTTCCAGGTTTTTAAAAGTGGGTAGCACTCACCCTCTGAATCCTAGTGCACTCATATCAATCCTAGGATCACACACTCTATATCCAGTCACCTTGGAAAAATCTCTACCTGTGATTGCCTGAGGCTTGGTGGAGACATATAGCACAAGCCATAACATTCTGCCCCTGGTCCCTCAAAGACTCATGTACATCTAATTATGCAAAAGACATTTAATCTATCTCTAAGAGTTGCCAAATTCCTGAAAGTTTCAGCATTTCCTAAAATTTAGAGTCCAAAATCTCCTCAGATTAAGGCAAACACTTAGCTGAAAGCCATGTATAAAACAAAAGAAAGCTATTTCCACCATTCAATGGCACAAGGTAGCTATTTCCATCCCAAAAGTTTCACACAGGGGAATAATAAGGAATGGGAATGAAAAAAGAACAAAATCCAGGAGAGCAAACATTAAATTCCATGGTTCTGCTTACAGCAACCCAATAATCTGTGTTTCAAGTTCTGAACTCCAAAGGAGTTACATGGCTGCAGCTCTGTGACACTTTTGGTGGTTGTAACTTCTATGACTTTTTTCTTTGGCTGTCTTTGCTTACTCCTTGCAGCTTTCCTTGGAGGAGCCATGATCCTGGCTTCTGCCACCTTCCAGAGTCTCCACTGCACCTTCAGCTTCATCCTCGCAGATTCACACACTGCCCTCTATGGGGCACACTGCCCAGCCTCCCAGGACTTCTGAAATCTGGATGGAAGATTTCCAAACCATGTCACCCTTCCATTCTGCTTGCACCTAACACCGGAACTATGTGGATGATTCCAAGGTTTGCTAGCAGAAGAGGAGCAGTGTTCAGGTCTCTCTTGGCTGTTGTGGTTGAATGCCTATGAACCAAAGCCCGAGGAACAACTTCCCTAGGCTTTTGCCATTCTGGAACATGTTTCTCTTGGAATCTCTTCTCTTTCTCTCTTTTCAGTTTCCCAAATTCCTTTTTTTTAATTTTAAAGAGAAAAAAAAACCAGTTTCAAAACAGACTAATAGGAGAGCAATAATAATTAATACATTATGCATTGTTATCTTCATAGTGGTTAATCAGAATAAAAGATGTATACATGAAATGCTGTCCAAACCATATGAGCACAAACGCTCCTTCCAATGAACTAAGGGAAACTAGCCATATATATATATTCCTTTTTCCTTCCCCCATCATGATTTCTCTTTTCTTTTGAATAGTTTTTTTCATAGTTTGCAATATCTATTGTACCCTTTGGATTTTATTTACTCATTGAGCTTCTCACACTAATGAGACAATATGATGTTTATATATGTGGGTCTGATTTGTTTAACTTAGAAATATTGTCTTGGAGTTGCTTACATTTACCTATAAAAGTCTCAAATTTATCCTTCATTATGACTTAGTAGTACTTCTTTATTAAAAACTACATCTTTAAAAAATCTATTCCTTGGTTGATGGACATTTGGGTTGTTTCCAAGATTTTTCTATTACAAATTGTGCTGCTATATACATGGTGCATATAGATCACTGTGTTATGATGTTTTTGATTCTTTTTGGGAGATCCCTAGAAGAGGTATAGCTAAGTCAAATGGGACCTTTTGTCCTATTTTTTTTTTTGAGGAATCTCCACACTGTTTTCCACAGTGTGTACACAGTCTACACTCCTGCCGGTAGTGGAAAAGTGTTCCTTTTTCACCTCAGCCCTGTCAGCATTTGTCAGTGGTTGATTTGCTGATAATAGCTATTCTTTCTGGAGTGAGAGGAAATCTCAGTGCTGTTTTAATTTGCATCTCTCAGATGATCAGTGATGGTGAACATTGTTTCATGGATTTATTTGCAGTTTGTACTTCTTTTTAAGAGAAATATCTAAATAGAGAGCTCTTTCTCATCCTCATTGTGGTCCAGATAATTTACATTTGTAATCCTGTGGAAAATTTTCCTGTGGAAAATTTATTGGAATTCTAGAAAGCTGATTCCAATCTAATACTTCCAGTGCAACCTATGGTAAGAATAAAGACACAATTATGGGAGGCCAAGGGATCCTATGTCCAGCCAGGATAAATGTTCATCAGCATAAAGGTCTTTATCCAGGGCCTAACCTGGATTTTATTAATTTAAGAAGAAGGGAGTGGACTGAAGATGAGTGCTGTGAGAATGGCAGGGGATAAGTGAGTACTGTGAGCTGGGCTATGTAGGAGGCCTGAAAGCACCTCTGCGATATGCAGTGAGAAGGATATGCAGAAAGAGCAATCTGCATAATATAATTAAGGCAGCATTTAATGTGTAGGGGGCAGTGCTTCAGTCTGGTGTGCAAACTTTTCTGTCCTGGTAAGTCATAGCCTCTTATCTCAAGGCTGGAGCCAGTTGTCAGCAGTGGAACAGTGTCTATACATCCCTCTGGGCTCAACCATATTTTAAAGGGAGTTAGGATGTGGGGAAACAGTGACTATCACCTAGCTTCAGTGATTGCACATTAGCACCCAAGCCAATCCTATTTACATTGCTTAAAGCCAACTAAAGGGAAAAAGAAATTGCTTAGCCAGCTCTGTACATATCAGTACAGAGTATGGCCAGTTTTAGCTGAAATGGAGATAATTGCTCTTTATTCAAGGAGACTTGGCTAGGTGGTCCACCACAATTTTAGATGCCTATTTTTGAATTGGGTCTTTTAACTCGGGGGGGGGGGATGATTTTTTCAATTCTTCATACGTTCTAGGTATAAGTCCTTTGTCTAAAGAACAACTGGCTAAAATTTTTTTCCACTCTGGTCTGTTTTTTATTCTCTTGGTGATTTCTTTTGCTGTGAAAAAGCTTTTTAATAAGTTATTGAGAAAGACTTTAGCTAATATTAGTTGGACAAAATTTCATGGCTGTAATTTATACTCTGAGTAATTACTATGATTATGATAATATGAAATACATTAATTATTGTTACTCTATTAGCCTGTTTTTAAACTTTGTTTTATTGTTATTTTTATCTCTTTAATATAAAATTAATTGATTCTTTTTAGTATTTCCTGTGTATTCAGAATTTTGTTCATGCAATTACATCTTTGAAATTCTACTTACTTTCTCTTCCAGCAGATTTAGTGTTTCTGTTTTTAATATTTAAGTCTATGGTCTATTTTGATTTTCATTTAGTACATAGTGATAGATGTGTATAATTTTAATTTTCAGTGTGTGAAAGCCAATATTTTCAGGACTATTCAGTAAAAAGACTTTATTTCTTCTAGTGAAAGTGTTTGGCACTGTTATCAAAGATAAGAGTGTGTTTGAAGTAGTTTCTGCCTCTTTAAATCTATTCTATTGATCTTCAGGTCTATTTTTGGCCAAGTCTACGCTGTTTTTATCACAGTATCTCATATAATTTCAAGTCAGGAATTGTTATGTCCCCTGCTTTGCCTCTATTGCCCTGAATTTTTTTCCTATTTTAGTTCCCTTCTGGTATTCTAAGTACTTCAATTTTGATGCTACTGTGAAAGGTGTGTTTTCCATAATTTCTCTCTCAGTTTATTTACATACAAGAATGTATTGTTTTTGAGTGTTGACTTTGTATCCCAATATGTGACAGAATCACAGCAGATTTTTCAGCACAAACACTGAAGTCAAGTAGAGCTTTGAGTGAAGAGTTTCAAGCCCTAAAAGAAAACAACTTCCAGCCTACACTGTTGATTCCAGCAGAATTTTCACTCAGAATTAATGGATAAATAAGATACTTCAATGACAAAAAAATTGTGGAACTTCAAGACAATCAAACCAGCTCTACAAAAAGTTCTTAAAGATATTCTAGAACAAAGTTCACAATTCCAAGAGTACCAATAGAAACAAGCTAGTAGATAAGGGCAACAATTAAACAGTGGGGGAAAGACACAGAACCATCAACAGTTAAATTATATGAGTAGCCAACGCACATTAGTTATAACCATCAATGTTAATGGTCTGAATTCACCAATCAAAAGAAATAGACTGGCAGAATGGATCTAGAAACAAGATCCAACAATATGCTGCATTTGAGAAACTCATTTGTGCTCTCTTCTTGAAGCAATGTCTTTCAGTTTTGCAGTTTTGAGGCTGCAAAGGGTGGAGTCCTGGTGCTCCTTGTAATGCCCTTAAGCCATCTTTTCTATTCTATGTTCTTCGTTAGTAATAAAAATCTCCTCTGCTCTGTCTTCACAAGCCATAGCTGTCTGGGAGCTTCCTTTCTGGCCAAATTCATGAAGTTTTGAATCATTTTGCTAACTTACTTGCTCTTGATTCTTAACATAAATCTGGCTAAATGCCCCCAACAGTAGCCATGCCACTGCCTCCATGTTTGACTGCCTTGAAATTTCTTCTGCCAGGTTAATTAGTCCATCATCTTTAGTCTTAGAAAGTCTCTGGGCATGAACAAAATGCAAACTTTCTGCCAAGGTATAATGCACACTGTCTGGAGTCTAATACACTGTCTGGAGTCTATCGCAGCTGAAAAGTCCAGGAATTTGATTTTAATGAGGAGGGTTTCTGTTAGCCTTCTGGTCTTCTGATCCCTGATCAGAATTTCCCATCAAGTACCACCTAAAGTATTCTTTTTTAATCCATAATCTCCAAACACTTTTAAACTCTTTCCACAAGCCATTCACAAATGCTCTTGAGCCAAACATATGGTCAGGCACAGTCACAGCAATGATCCCACTTCTCTGGTATCAAATTCTGTACCAATACTTTTCTCATTGCTGAGACAATACTTGACACCCAATGCTCACAGCTTGTAGAGGTCATAGTCTATAATAGAATGCTTCAAGGCAGGTGGCTTTGCAGAGGAGAAAAGTTCATGATGAGCAGAAGATAACAAAGCAACAAGAACAACCATATCTCTTTCTGCTCCCTTTACCTTATGTAGGCTACTTAGGTCAGGTAGCATTCACACTTTTAATCATAGTCCCCTTAAGCCTAGCATTACATTATAAATCAATCTTATAGTCACGCACCCTAGATCCATCCACCTCTGAAAAAATTCCACCTATGACTGTATGAGGTTTTGGGGAGACATCTAAACACAAGCCGTTACAATTCCTATTCAAGTTCTCAACAGATTGTCAGCTCAATTAGTTACTTATTCTTATCTCTCAAATATCACCTACCAATAGAGCCTGATCCAGGACATGCTAGCTAAATAACTACCTGTTCCCATTTTATCATGTTATTCCATTTTGTTTTCTTTATAGTGCTCTTTTTCACTTTGTAGAATTAACCTTAAAATAACTTCCCCTTTTATTGTCTTTGCTTTTCTCTTAAATAGTAAGCTTCACAAGAGAAAGTACCTGTTTATTTCACTGTCTTCTGTATTTCTAGCATCTGGGAGGTGCCCAGAACTTAGACTCCTCCTCCTATAAGTGAAGAATGAAATGAATGCAGGCTTGAGTTTTTACATGTCTGGCTCAGAAAGCTTGTGGGATGAAATTCTTGCTGTGTAGCAGCTTTAGGTTTCTTTCCTGTTTTCTGAAATGTTTCTCCACCAAGGTCAACAGGATTGAAGAGGTATTGAGGGTGACATTAATAAAGATGCTGCCTTTGGGGTAGAGACAGAGCAAACTATTCATTGTAGCCAACTTATGTTTCAACTGATGTGTTCAATAGCAGCTGGATGGGTAAAGACAATGTATTGTATAGATGCAATCAAATATTGTTCAGTCACAGAAAAAACTAAATCTTCTCATTTCCAGCAACATGGATGGAGCTGTAGGATATTATGTTAAGAGAAATAATCCAGGTAAAAAAATACAAATACTGTATGTGCTTGCTCATATATGGAAGCTAAAAATTTGATCTCAAAGAATAAGAGAGTAGATGCTGGGGGATGTAGCTCAGTGACATAACTGGTTGCCTGGTAAGCACAAGGTTGTGAGTTCAGTCCCCAGTATCAAAAAAAAAAAAGTAGAATAGTGGTCACTAGAGATGAGAATGGGATCAGAAAACAGGGTAATGGGGACCAAATTAGAGTAAGGGGATACTTTCTCATGTCCTATAACACAGTAAGGTGTTTATATTTTATAGTAATTATTATACATTTTTAAAGAATTAGAAGAGATGAGTTCAAATATTTCCACCACAAAGAAATTACAAATGTATAAGAAAATGGACATGTGAATTATCTTGATCTGACTTTTATGTATTTTATATATGTATCTATCTCATTATATTTCATAAATACATCATCACTATGTATCAATAAGAAATAACCATAGTGAATTTAAGCTGTATATTTCCTTCACTACATTTCTCAACAAACCCTTGCTTTTATTTTTCTAGGACTTGTCTTCTGGAGAGATCACATGTATAGAACGATTTCCAAACATCATTTTCTAGTCCAAGATGTTACTGTCTCCTCACACCAACTCTGGGAGGTGGGAGGT